TGCCTCAGAAGGCTCCTGACCTGCACAGAGCCCAGTGTCACCTCCAGTGCCCATGGGGAGTGAGGGCAGCAAAAAGATTCTCCAAAACTGGGCCAGTGGCTCCTCTTTAGTCATTCTTGTTGTATTGCTGTTGTTTGAAACATATTCCCCTCCCAAGCAAGGTAATTTATTGGAGCAGTGCCAAGATCTGCTGTGGAATTTATTGCTGCAGGATTTTGAGACCTCGAGGTACAGATAGAGTCAAAGCAAGGGCCAAGCAAGGCTTCCAGTGACAGGAAGGTCCTTGGAGGATGCTTAAATACCAAGGTGGGTATCAGTAGGCCACAGTGTCGTGGAATCATGCAATGCTTTGGGTTGGAAGGGACCTTAAAGACCACCTAGCTCCAAATCCCCCACTGTGGGCAGGCACACCTTCACTAGACATGTGGCTCAAAGCCTAACCCAGCCTGGCCTTGAACACTGCCAGGGTTGGGGAATCCTCAGCCTCTCTGGGCAGCCTGTTCCAGTGTCTCACTACACTCACAGTGAAGAATTTCTTCCCAACCTAAACCAGCCCTCTTTCAGTTTAAAACTCTTACTGCTTGTCCTATCACTGCAGTCCCTGATAACGAGTCCTTCTCCATCTTTCCTGTAGGTGCCCTTTAGGCGCTGTGTCCCTGTGCTGCAGGGAAACACCTCAGGAGGAGCCTGCTGGGCACCAGCCACACTCCTGCACACCTGTAGGCATCAGGCAAGGGCACCTGCTTCTCCTGGGGCCAGAGGGACCTGACAGCATCCCCAGATCCAGCATCTGCCTTCCCCCACATCCAGGAGCTTGGGCACAGGCAGGAGGGTGGGGAGAAGCACAGCTCCCCACCACACTTGTCAGCAGCAACTTCATAAATGCACCCGGTGGGTTCTGCACTTTCACCTGATGTTTGAGGGTTATTGCCCCCCTGCTTAGCAACAGAGGCTGCTGGCTCAACTTTGTGAGCCCAACTCTGCTGCCATTGGTCACTGGGGAAAACACTCACACCATGCATCCCACTGCCCATCTGCAAAGTCATTCTCACTGCATATGCAAGTCTTGCCCCAAATTATGTGGGTATTCTGTCTCCAGTTGTTAGTGCAGCAAAGGAAACTTGTGGTATTTGAGCCTCAGTGAGGCTATGAATCTGACAAGTTGAGACTTGACAGGGATGTTATCACAGGGCCCAACAATGGCTTTACACTCAATTACATTTATGGTTTCTTCAATTCATCTAAATGTTTATGGCTTTTTCACTACCAGGAAGTTAAGGAAAAATTTTTTTAAAAATCACGAAAAGGAAAATAAATTTCTGTAATGAACAGAAATTTGCTGGTGCAAGGCTCTGAGACAGGAAAGAAACTGAGCAACTTTCTTGGGTGGTGGGGAAGAGTCATTTTCTGTGGTGACCAGAGCTATATTTGATTTCTTAGGCAATGTCAGCTTTTGCATGCTACATTCTTTGGCTAATTGCCAGCACGATGTGTAATACTTTAGCCACACTGTTGTTACTTAATCCTTTCCTAATCTGCAATTTGCGCAAGAGGAGTAAAATCTAAGCAAAGCCACTGAGAACATCTCCACTAATAATTTGTCAAACTCAACTTTTGTTGTTGGCCGGAGACGGCAGTTGATGGAGGTGAATGTTTTCCCACAACAGCGCCGTATCATAAACACAGGGCAACTGATTCACGCCACACTTATTTTCTGTCATCCACCCTTGGTGTCACCCTGATATTTCTTCGAATGATAAGCCTGTGTGTGTGTGCTCACAACACACCGCCGAGGCCCCAGTTTCATCTCTTTGTGCAAATTACACATTAATTAACCATTAATAACAGTGGGAGTTGCAGGCAGAAATCCACACCCGCCGCGATGAGACCGTGCCCTTGGTGAGCCAGTGCCTTATTAATCACCTGCACCTCAGCTGGAGCTCTGCACAGCCCTGCCAGACAAACACCCCGCAGAGGGAAGCGCTCACCAGCCCTAATCCTGCCTTAAAGAAAAGCCTTACCTCTTGCTCTATGAATTTTATTTATTTTGGTCCTCTGGGCAGTGCTTGCTGTTGTTAGAAACATGATTGCTTCATACAGTTATGTTAATGTTTGCATTTGACAGAATGTAATTGATACTTCGGCTGCTCCAGTTTCAAAGCCAAATTAGGAAATGAAGTGCTGCACATTAGCTTGTTTAGCTGGTTAAATACTGTAAATAAATACATGCAGGGCAATGAAAACTAATGAGTTTTCTTTAAGGCATTTTCTAAATAGCTGGCTTCACAAAAAGAAGATGCTGCTGTGAACTCATATCCTGAAGGATTTCTCATTTTGCTGCAACAAAAGTTGATCCTGTCTGAAATCTGAACACTGGATTTCACTTAGAGAAAAGGATTTTGCAAGTTATGGAGGAATCATGGCAAGAACTGTTGCAAATTTCATGGTACTTTTATCAACAATACTTCTGTGACATTGCATTTTACAAAGCCATTTTTTGCAAGGGATTAATTCAGACCGTGGTTATATGTCAAGTTATTCTTCTCAATGCTCACTAGAAAAACATCTTTGTAAGAAGTATTTGTGCTGCTAAATCTGTGCACTGCCATAAGGCTGAATGTTAGGCTTTTTTCCTTGACAGAATGCAGCAGCATGAGAAAAGTAGGGAAAAAATTTTGGTTTTCTATAAAGAGATAATCTATTGAGAATTGCTTGACAGAGTGCACTCAGCACTGCTGGAATAATAAGTGTTTCTCAAGTTATCTGTCCTGCCCTCAGTGCATTAAAGGAGAGCTAGAGGAGAGTATTGCACTGGCGCTGTGATCCAGCCAAGGGCAATGAATTTTCCTCTTGTACATCTACAAAATAACCCTGTTCTTTCACCCCTTTGCTTTCATAAATACTACATTGATGCCAAAGTGCCTTGGCCTAACTTGAAGGTGTTCTACTAAAACCAGGGAACTGTTTAGTATAGGTAGAACTGAACCTTTACCAGTCCTTTTTGACTGCAAATAACCTCAGAAGTATCACCTCCTTGGCAGAGATGTTGACCTTAAACCTGAGCTTGCTGAGCTAGCTGTTTTACCTGGCACTTTCAGAGGAAGCTGGTTTACAAATTCTGCTGTGCTACTTCAAAAGAAAATTATTGAACTGGTGCCTAAAATGCAGCTGAAGTACTGAGAGTTGATAAAAATACATACTTAGGATGTAAGATCCATCCTGACTGGGAGGTGGTTCAATGCCAGCTTAGGATGGAGACCAGGATGTTGTGAAAAACCTCAACTTTTCCTGTGTTTTTAGCAACAACAGAGAACTGAAGTCTCACAGCACTTTTCAGAGAGGGCAATTTCAAGGTGAAAATGGTGACCAGGTCTGTAAAATACCTAAGAGATTCATGTGGTCCTCAGCCAAAAGGACCATTTAAAAATAGACAAACTATGACTCTCTCATAAAGAAATGTGTGCATTGCATAAATCAAAGTTCTCACACCCACCATCAAAAGTTTAATCACTTAATATGCTGGTTCTTTCAACACGTTCTGAAACTTTGTATACAATAATACAAACGATGGGGTAACGAAGCAATAGCAATTTATTCTGCTGTACAAACGGATATTGCATTATAATCCCTAAAGCAATACAGAGGCTGTTTGCAGATGTTACTACAATTTGGCGTTTATTTTAATTGCTCTGCAGCACAGCTCATGTGAAACAAAGTCACGGGATGACCTACACGTTCACCTACTGAGGGTGACTTAACTGCAAGGGGGAGAAAAAAGTTTTTTTGAAAGTTTTTGAGGTTTCACTTAAATACAAACCTCCTGCAGCTGTTTTGAAAGGATGCATCAGGGCTCCTGTCCAAGCCTGAAAGCATGGTAGGGCAGGGGGTAATTTAATCAGCCAGGCTATGCAGTGTGCATATTTTTACAAGTCTTGCAAGAATGACATCAGTAAAGTAACTTGAGATATTTTGGTGTCTGACATTCACTCAGCAAGTGCTAAGAAAATATGCTTACTGCACAGATCACTGGCTTCACAGAGTGGGAGTCAAGGTAACTCATGAGAGTCAGCGCACTTTGCTTTATCACTGACCAGGTCCCTTTTCCCTCCTTTTCACTTTCCACTCCCCTTCTAAAAGTAAAAGCTGCTTTTAAAGTTGCTCCTGCTCAAGGAGCTGCCTAGAAGCAGTTGCTCCACTAAACAGATTTCAAGCAAAAGGACAAAGTTAAACATGAGGCAAAGTATAAATAAAAATCAAGACTCTCTTCCTCCTCCTTTCCACTTGTGAGCGATGATCTCACCGCTCTGGGTGGATTGCAAGGGTGGCTTGATCTCTTTCAGGAAAGCACATTCTCTAACCTTGATACTGCAGCTATTTATACTTCTCTCTTCTCACCACAAAGAAAAGCAGCTCTAATAATCCTTCCCTTGGTTTTAATGAGAGCACCGTGCTGCCTCCCAGCAGCAGGGTCAAGCCTCTGCCCACGAGCTGTAGCTCCCTGTAACACCAATGCTCTTGGTTACTGCCTCTCCTTCTGGTTGCTCACTTTTAGACATCTGAGATCGGATTTTCCACCGGCTGAAGCATCACATTGCCAGGCACACAGGTGCAGGATGACAGCCCTGCTGTGCCACAGCATCTTCTGCTCACAGGGCACAGAGGGAAACAAATGCATGGGCTGAAAGGCAAGAGGGTTTCTAAAATTCAGAGGCAGAGCTCTAACTCCTATCTCCCTTGTTTATCAGAGGAGTAGCATAATCCATTTCACATAACCATGGGGACATCCCAAGCGCTTTCCACCTCACAAGAGGCAGGATCCATCCCCTGTCCCCCCTCTCCCTGGGGATTCAATCCCAGGCTGAGTTCAGGGAGCTCAGGCTAAGGCATGATGGAATGCATATACAGACCATAGAGGAGCTGATAGTCTCTTAGGCCAAACCCCATTTTCTCAGATTAAACCAGACACACTGAGCTGCATTCCTCTTGAGACACCACAAGAATTGGGGACAAACATTATGAAACCAAGTTTATTAAAACTTTCTACAAGTCAGACTTTATCATCCAGGTTTCCACAGACATATACATATGTACAAATTGGACATAGTGTTTTTAGCTTTTCTGGCAGAATTTTCTACCAATATATACAAATGTACTGTTTTTCATAGAAGGGTTAAACTGTATCACAGATACAAATGTCAAGCAATCATGAGAGGTTTAGTGCAACGGAGAGCTGGAGCGCTCTGCTCTTAATGCTCATGATTCTGTCAAGTTAGTATTGCCAACAATAATTCACATTGAACTGCTCTTCGACACCTCTTATTAAGACAAAGTACAACAAAACAAGAAAACAAAACCCCAAACAGTAAGGTATGTACAAAGTACACAGTCCATGAGGTATACATGGTATTCTTGCAACGGGTGGTGGGACTGCAGCTTGCCAGGGTTAACCCTTAAAATGACTTCACTCGAACTGGGTGGTGTTGGGAATGTGCATCACCCACCTCACGGCCATTTTAGAAGCCACACTCTTGCCTAAGGTGAATGGACATCTCTGCATAAACCACTGGACACATGTGAAACTAAGCAGAAATCTTAGGCAGGACTAAGGTTTACTTACCCCCAACCCAGGAAGCTAATGATTCAGATATATTCATTATTCACACATATTGGAAAGACTATGAATAATCATGCAAAATAAAAACAAAACAAAATTTTAAAAATTAAAAAAAAAAAAAGGCGGGGGAAGCTGGAGGCAAACAGCATACCTGAATAATCAACTAAGGGTGTACAGAGATTTTGCTCTTAAGACTAACTTTTTGTGGGGGTGGAGGGGGAAAGAGGAGGTGATGTGTTATTTTCAAGAGTTAAGCCGGTTGAAAAACATGGCCATGTTTACAGGTACTGTACAAGACACCCCTTATCCTTTCCAGGGGAAGGTGCCCCAGCCGATAGTGTTACGGTTTGGTAAACGGATACGTTTTGGCACTCGGGAGTTAACGAGACCTGCTACTTGACAAGCTCGCTGAGGGCATTAAGTTATATAGGCTACACTGTGGTAACACGAGGCTTAAGTCTATTTAAAATGCTTTCCTGGACAGCAAATGGAATCAGAAGGGATCCAGCTGGGAGATCCACTGGTTTCTGCTTCAGAAAGAGCCACAGCAGTGATTTGTCTTATGGGTGGATCTAGGAGCTTCACGCCTCTGAAAGCAGGATCAGCTGGAGGAGCAGCACAAGCAGAGAGCTGGCCGTGGTGGGTGAAGACCTCCTTCCCTCATTAACGGGTGCTTACAGTCAGAGAGCTGCTTGGCGAGCTGGCTGCTGGGGCACGCCAAGGCGATTCCCCTTTTAACCATTTCTGTCACATTTGTTCAGGCAGAGGTGCGCCATGTGCCCCTCTGCCCCTGCACATCCTGGCCAGGGCTCCACACCTCTGCAGCCGCTGCAGGAAAGCAGAAGGAGTTGCCTTTCCATCCCACACCTTGCCAGACGTAAGACTCTGCAGCCAAGACGTGACCAGTTACAGCGGAGGAGGATGCGGGAGGCAGAAGAGCCAGACAGTTCTCACAAGGCTGCACAAGTCCTCCGGGGCTGGTGGGACCAACCAGCAGAGCAAGAGGATGGAACTCTGAGTACACTTAGGGAGTGGAGACCTCCAGGGTGGCATTCATTTAGACAAGGTCACTTTTCTGACCATACTGGCACTTTAAGATGCAGTTGAGTTTGCAGAACTGGGAAAATGAAACCCTACAAAGATGCCGGAGGTAAGAACCGACGAGGTTTTTGAGATTTCGGGGTTAGCAGAAGAAGGAACTGATATCATCACTGTCTCCATGATATTCTGGGACAATCTGATCTGAAGCTCCCGTCTCCTGGTCTGTATATCCAGGCTCCATGACTGCCTCAAACCAAGGGTGAAGCAAGATCTCTGGAGCAGTGAGTCTTTCGGAAGGCTCCCGCCGCAGGAGGCTGCGGATGAGGCAGCGGGCTTTGGGGGAGACGTGGTCAGGAATACAGAACTGTCCACGCCGGATTTTGGAAAACAGAGTGCTAGGGTCCGAGTCATGGAAGGGATAGCGTCCCACCAGCAGGGTATAAAGCATCACTCCCAAACTCCACACATCGGCCGATTTTCCAGAGTAAGTCCCCGTCGTGTTTAGGATCTCAGGGCTGACGTATGCCGGGCAGCCGTGCTTGTCTGAGAGTGCATCGTCTTCACCCTTGATGATGTGTGTGTCTTCCAGGCTCTCCAGACGCAGCTGAGTCCTAGGGAGGGCAGGAGAGGAAGCCACAGGTGAGAAATAGCAACAGCAGTCATGAGCAAGCACAGCAAGCCCCTGCCATGGCCCCATTCTCTCTTGCATTGGCACTGGGAAAGGAAACACCTCAACTTGCAGCAGAGAAGTTGCCCGGACGCCCAGGAATGTGTAATGGAAGTGCTGCTGTGTGCATCGGGCCAGCATTCAGTGACACTCATGTTTTTTTTATTAACTGGAGATTTTAACAACACAGAGGACTCTTGAGGAACACCGAGTCTCCGCTACCCACGCAGGTTGTACTGCCACTGCAGGGGGTTAATTGGTGACATGGCACTTTGCAGCCACTGTGTGCCGTTCAGGCTTTGAGCAAACAGCATCCAGCTGTGCGACTCCACAAACCACAAAGCCCAGCTCCCCTCTGCACTGGTGAGGATCATTGCCTTCCCTAAGCTTTTTTTTTTTTTTTCATTTTAGTTTGTAATTTATTCTTTTTATTTTTGGAGCGTATCACCACACTCACCATCTCCAGGTGGAGATGGGTCCACCCCAACCTCCTATTTCGGAGGGTAAGGGGAGCTCCCCGTCGGCAGGGAAGCCACCAGGCAGCCCTGGAAGGGCTCTGCACTGCCTGGCAGCCTGCTGGGGTGTAGATATGTTGGCTTCAGCCTGTCCTCAGCCTGACCTCGGCAAATACCCATTGGTTCTGCAAACGGAAAATATGACTCAACGAGAACCGTGGGCCCGGGATTGGCTGCGGGAGCCCTGAAACTGCACCTGTGCAGAGCCCGCGTCGCCTGCCATTGCTTAACCCTCTTCTTGCCAAATGTGATGCACATGACATCGCCTGTGCAACACGTTATTTCCAAATGAGCGAGACTGTAAGCAACGTAACATTTCAACAAATGTTTCATCTTCTTATGGGAGGGAAAAGCTGCAATAGTTTCCTTCAAAGGAATAGCTTTCTTTACGTGTCAACATATGGCTGTTTCAGAGGGGCAGTGCTGGTTAATTTTCTTATCACATTTGTAAAAGATATGCTGAAGAATCATTTGCCCAGTTTAACATAACAAAATCCCTTTTCTTTCGTATCAGTAGTATCACTGTACATTTTTATGATATTAAGCACAACTCCATTGCAGCTTTTACTTGGTTTTTTAACATTCCTTGGGATAAGCAGCTAGTCCAGAGTCAGTTTTGCTGTATTTCTGACTCTGCCACGTGTGGTGAAGCACTGCAAGAGCAGCAAACACTCCAGGGGAATACTGAATTATTTCCCTAATCTAAATTTAACAACTAGATTCTATGATCTCCTCTATGAACCTCGGCTTTAGGCTAAGTTTTACTAAAGTGATTTTCTTTGATGCAGGATTCCCAAAGCATTATATAACCATGTCCCACCTTCCCTCCTGTGTGTGCCCACGATCCACCGGCACGGGGGGCATGGGAAGCACGGCAGCAGAGGGGAGATAAAAGCCTCGAAAGGTTCAGCAGCATCACTCTCATCAGCAGAGTGGTTCAGCAAGGAGACCCTGCCCAAGTGCTGGGGCTCCAGCGTCGGTCACAAGGCAGCTCTCCCGAGGAGGGACCAGAGCTCCAGCTCCTCACATCTCCTGCTCCCCCAGCTGGGCTGCTTCCTCCCGCCAGTACAACACCTCAGCCTCCCCCCTCTCCCTCTCTGCCTTTTATTCATTTGACACTGAATGAGTGGCACACATGACATCTTCTGGCGCTAACGAGCATCTGAACTATCATCCCTTTGTCTGCCAGCGGGTTTCACTGAACTTCTGCTGAATGAGAGGAAGCTCCCGGCGAGCTTCCTCCCTTTCATCAGTCAAGATCTAAGAGGGAGCGCGCCCCGGTTAGATCCGTGACCTACTACACACACGTGATGAGGACCTACTCGGATTGCTCGCAGGTGATGCCCGGCTGACGGGGCTGTTTCCACTCCCTGGGACGCTTTTTGTGTCTCTGGATGTGGCATTCCTCCCTCCCCACTCACCCCAGGGCTGGCTGCTGACAGCCACTTACCTTTCTTCATTAGAGAAGACAAATTTCCTGAGCTTGAGGTCACCAAGTACGATGGCTGACTGGTGGCAGTGAGCTACAGCGGAGACAATCTGCTTGAACAGCCGGGCAGCCTCCTCTTCCCTCAGCCTCTTGCAGCTCCTCACGTAGGAGTGCATGTCCCCAAAGTCCTTTTCAAAGAACACATAGGCCTTGGTGTCCCCGAGAATGACTTCCACAACCCCAGTGATGTTTCTGTGTGACGGCAGCTGAATGTAAGGTCGGATCTTGTCCTGGTAGTGTTTGAGGGGGAACACCTGTATAGAGGAAATTAAACCCAAATTCATTCTCAAGGGCGTTGAAAGCTGCCGCTCGCGTAGCAACTCTCCCCAAACAATGACGAGAGAGCTGGAGGGGAGCCAGGGCTCGGCAAGACCGGCAGGAGCGGCTACCGAGACCTTTCCTGTTCGTTGTGCATTGAAAGGCTGAGGGGGAAACTAAAACAAACCACCATTCCCACAGCTTCTGGGAGGAAGGCGCTCCGAGGTAAGCCGGAGTCCCGGCTCACTGGCAGGGCGTGCAAACGCCGCCGGGGGCTGGCCGGGCGTTCCCGGCCGTGAAGCAGCGGGAGGAAGGATGTTCGGGCAGGGCTGTCCCCGGGCCGGCAGGACCCGCTCCCCACCCGCGCGGTCCCGCTCACCTTGCAGCGCAGCTCCCGGCCCGAGCTGACGCTCAGCGCCCGGGACACCTGCTCCCGCTCGGCCAGCGGCAGCAGCAGGTACGAGGCGATCAGGCTGGGACCCGCCGCGCCGCCGCCGCCGGCGGGAGAAGCGGGGGCACACGGCGAGCCGGGAGCGCTCAGGCAGTCCGGGGGGCCGCATTCGGCGAGCCGAGGGCACTTGGCGGCCGGCGCTTCCTCGGCGGGGCCGTCGTGCAGGGGCTGCAGGCGCTTGGCCGGGGCGCTGCGGCAGCGGGCGGCCGGCAGCAGGGACGCGGGGCGGCTCATGGGGGGAGCGGAGCGGGCGCGGAGCTACAGGCGGGCGCTGCGCGCTGGGCGCATCCCTTCGCTCTCCCCGCCGAAACCTCGGGCCGTGTCCACCATCTGCTGCCGAGTCCGCGCTAAAGTAGTTGGAGGCTTTTAAAAAAAATTTAAAAAAAAAAAGGTGATTCTCCTCCTCCTCCCGGCCCTGACGCACGGGGAAATGGGAGGAGGGAGGCTGGGACACGCCCGCTCCGCTCCGCCCGCTGCTCTCTGCGCCCCGGGCCCGCCGGGCGGGGCGGCCGCGGAGCCGCCGCGGGACTTGAAGGGGGCGGCGGGGAGCGCCCCCCCCCCTTCGACCTTAAATAATTATGTCGAGAAAGCGAGGCCACCTTCCTTTCCAGGATCTTCTCGTCCATACAATTGCAGGTTCCCAGCCCCAGTCCTTACTTTTCACTAATCACTAAACAACCATCCCTCACCCCAAGGTTTGCATCACAGCGCTGTTGTGTGAGCATAAGTGTTTACTCATAAGCGTAGACGTAACGTGCACCATCAGAAATACCTGGCACTGGGTGTTTCCCATGTTAAAACTATATCTGCTGTCCGAAAAAGGAATAGCTCGGAGAGTCAGGCAGCCGCCAGCAGCTGCAGTGACCTGCGAGGAGCAGACTGAGAGGAGCTGTACACAGCTCAATAGCATGGCTTTAAAGGAGTAGTAAATGGATTTACAGCCCGGACTGGGAGTAAATGGAGAAGGAAAAAAAAAAAAAAAGGAGACAAAACCAGACAACAAATCATTTTCATCCCTGGGGAAAAAAAAAACAAACCCTGCTATAGTTTTGACAAGAATGCTTCAGAAGAAAAACTCTCCAGTTTTCTGGTTTTATATATGCAAATTTTCTGTAATTTAGTGCTGAAGCTCTGCTAATATTAACACAGGGACCCTGCGTTTTGTTATTCAGTAGGATCAACTCCTCCTCTGTTTTGGTTTCCCCAGCCCGGGTCTGTGCAAGAGGCAGAGAGGGCTGAGTGAGGATGGGACACCCAGCTCTGAAGCCTGTGATGCCACGTGTGCAGGTATTTGCTCAGATTCCTGATAGATAACTGCACAGCAAACCCATGCATGCCTTCAGCTACTTCTAGTGTATTTTAAGAAACACATGAAACTCTTGTGCGGGATGACTCATAGAATAGCAGTCCCATTAATGCATTTAAACATAAAACTCATATGCCATAAAGGGATATCCCAGGGCCTGCATTTCTTTCTTTCTTTTTTTTTTTTTTCCCCAGAAATAAAATTCCATTAATGCCTGCAGATTGTTTTTGAGTGATTCACCACAACTCTCAAAGCACGCTATTTTATTTGGTTCCTCTTTATAGGTAAAAGACATGCAAGTATCTATCAGACCTTTTGTTTTACTTTCCCTTCCTGGAAGTTTAATGATTGGAATGCTGCTGCTGGGTGAATTTAGCTGGTAGGATGCCACATGTGTGGGCTGCTTCCTCCATCTGAGACAGCAGAAGGTGCAGGGTGGGGGGGAAGGGTATCAGTACCTTTGGGGACAGGGAAAGGGTGCAGACAAAAAAATGGGTGCACACAAAACAGCAATGGACCTGCATAAAGTTCTCATGGGCATTAGTAGTGTGTGCCGGTGTCCCCTGTAGCTCTTTCAGAACTGAGATGCAGTGTGAGCAGGAATGAAGGTGTCAAGTGTTCCCACCCTCCCAAAGATCCGTCCATCTCAGCTCCTGTGTCAGATCACTGTCCCTGCTGAGGAGAGGCTGTACCAAGGATCTGCTGCATACATTGTTGGAAGTTGGGTCCTTCACCTGCCCAGCCTCCCATCCATCTAGAACCTCGAGGTCCACACCATGGGGACACAGTGGCACCTGAGCACAGGGCTTGGCTCGAGCTACTGGCAGCCAAATGGGAGATGGTACCCACTGCTCCTGAGGAAGGGAAAAAAGCACCTCTTGTCATCCTGGCTCCCCCAAACCCACCTGGCATGTGAGGAGAGCAGAGTACACACAGCATTGTACCTCACAGTCCTGCCACATTCTCCTGGTGCCTGGGCAGCCTTTCCTCACAGGGATTCCAGCAATTTCATGCTCTGTATGTCCGTCCCTGCTAACTGGAGCCCTAAAACTGGGTGAGCAGTTCCCAAAGGCCAGGAAAAGATAACTCCTGGGGCATTCATCCCAGAAGCACTGGTGGGTGCCCTCTTCTAGCTGACTGTATATGCTGAACTACAGTTGACTGTCTACATGTGACTGAGACAAACCAAAGCTTAAATCTCCCAGGTCTATGAAAAATGAGTGAAGTTCTTGACAGAAGGAAACCTTTGTTTCTTCTTTAAAATGCCTGGCATGCTTTCAGTACTCAAAGCCTTAATGCCGTGGCTTAACATATAGTAGCAATTATTACTCAAGTTAGTATTATGTTTTGGGTACAGAATATAGGAAAAGGTCCACATCCAGATTCCCCTCAATCCTCACCAAATTCATTTCAAGATGCAGAGCAGAGAAGGGATTCCCACTTTGATTTTCTGGTTTTTCTAATTTTGGCTAATCCCCAAAATGCAAAAATTAAGAATTAAAAAAAAAAAAAAGGGATGCCAAGGATGTTGTCTGATGACCTACATGGCACGTTCTTCATGTTCTTTTGGTCTTTTTCAAAGGGCTGAAACTTGTCCTCCTTGCCCATCTCTGCCAGTGCTTGCATGCAGCCCTGGTGTGGTTAGGAACCAGTGCTGAGAACAGGAGGAATTCCAGGAAGAGATTTGTGAAAAACTGTTGCAACATTTCAGTATTATAAGATTTTTGCAGAAAATGGAGCTACCACATTTGACACAGCAGCCTTGTGTTTGTTTTCATCACACCGCTGGCTTTTAAGCATGCAGGCTTATCTCCTGCACTAGTCTCCTCCAGAAATCGAAACCTGTCTTTTGGGGTCTTCTTTCTATTCCCTACATAAGCCTTCATCATTCCATCTCCCCCTTCCCCAAAAAAGACTTTTCAGGCTCTGCCTGCTTAGCATGTGTGATGAATTCTGTCATGGCAATCCTCAGTTGTGCCTGTGGTGAATTTGAGCCTGAATGGCTTTACAGCCCTTCAAAATGAACCAGGGCAATGTTACACATCTCCAGCGGACAGCACTGAAAATCATTGGGGAGCACAGATCAGTGCACAATTACAGACCTAATGCTGGGATAAAACATTGACTCTGTGGATGAGTCCTGCTATCCAAGTGCCAGAAAAAATAAACTGCTGTGAGCCAGCAGAATACAAGGAACCAGCACTCAGGTGTTCCAAAGGGACTTGGTACCTGTGAGGTGGGCAGGGATGACCTTTGGAAGCAGAGTTCAGGAGGCATCATGCCTGGCAAAGGATAACAGTGTGCAAGTGTTGGCACCTTCCCAACACTCGCAAAGTCTGAGGAGCTCTCAGTCAAAGGACATTGCAGAATCGTTACAAAAAGTAGATCCTGCCTTGGAAAAGGCCAGTCAAAGCAAGCAGGACTGCTAGCTGTCTCCTCACTTCTGGAGTCCCAGCTGCTAGGCAAGGATCTGGGACTGCAGCAGAAAAAAGAGCCTGTGGGATGTGTATCACAAAATGGGCGCATCCTAGCAGAGGGAAAGGTCTTACATAGCACAGATTTGCCAGGAATCTGGCAAGGTGAATATTGCTCTTCATATATTTTTTCTCTTTTTTTAAACAGACAAGCAGCTTAGTGCATCTGTGAGATGAAGACTGAAGAATCCAGAATTCCTGGTGCTCAGGCATTGATCCTCCCATTTCTCTTATTTTATTTAAGGGAATTTTTGTTACATGGTTTTCAAGCATCTACCTGCCTTGCCCTCAGCCAGTGCTTACACTCACCTGAGCAGCTGCTTTTCCTTAGATGCTCACAAAATTATCACTGTTGCTCCAGTTCTCTGACCCTTTATAACTAGAGCAGCCAGAGGCAATGAGAATTGTGTAACCATCTCCCCACTTCCCAAGTGCTTGGGACAGGTCTGGTAACTTTGACAGTATGTCTCATGGGACACACTGAATAAATCTCTATTAGATTAGGGCACTTATAAATAAACTGGCTGCTTGCCACAGAAAAAAATGAAAAGTTCTTTACTTTAGTTCCCGGATGAGAAAGGCAAGGAACACAAATATTTTGGCTAATATTAAACTATTGGTAAACGATGAAAAATCAGTATCTTTATTTAAAAAGTTATCTCAAGCCATGTAATGAAAATTAAACTACTGCCAGATTGAAAGCCAACAATATAAAACCAGCATGTCATCTACAATCTAATGGTGTACAGAATTACCCTGCACAGATGGGGCTCAAAGAGTAGTCGTATGGCCAGGTGATAAAGAACTAAAAGTGATGTTTTTTATAGCAAAGCAGCATCTGTGATAACCCACAGCCATCCTCAGACACTGTGGAACTTGGCGGCAGATTCACCGCTGAGATATAAAACACATGACGAGCACGTAGTGACATCAAAAGCAGTGCAGTGTAATGGTGCTCAGATGTCTCCCCTCAAGCCCACACAAAAGCTGCTCTCAGGGCTGCTGTAGCTCAGAACTCTCAATGATTCCCTTTTGATAAGCCTGTTTTTAACAAATCCAAGGAGTCTTATGAGCAGCACCTCCTGACTTTGTTCCTTCACTAACTGGAGAGCATGAAGGCTTCTTCTGTTGCCTGGAAGACGTGTGAAGGTTCAGGTTTTAGACCTCAAATCCTGTTTTTACTTCAGAAGTGGATTGCACAAGCGGACAGTGAATGAGTGTCTCCGTTTCCCTTGCGGTCAGAGAAGATCCTATTCATACTGAGTTTACAAGCAAACACTTCCTTTGGTAAGCTTCCCATGCAATTCAATTCATGTGCGTGCTTTCAGACTCTGTCTTTGGGTCTGGACTAACATCAGAACAAGCAAGAGAGGCAGGCTCTCTTCTCAGCCCACCACAGCCTTTTCTGCAGTGCTTTGAAATGATGAAACACACAGTGTTTTCTGCACACTGCTGCAGTCCTGTCAAGTCACTGTGATTATTCATGCATCAAGAGGCTAAGCACATACATGGGTATCTACTGGATGATGTACACCCATTCCAGAATTTTACTTGCTTAACAATCAATCTAATGTTTTTGCTCTTTATAGTTACTGGCTGGAAGCCTAGAATCTGCTGGCACCTACACACAGGATTCTCCTCTGAGCATTCTGTGACCACGTCAGGTGTTTGAAATATTATGTATTAACAATAAGTACTTTATGACCAGCAAATAAATTATTATTTATGGAAGACTTGGAATTTGCCATCAGTACCTGCAGTGAGGAGCTATCAGCTTAAGGCTTTGGCTGTAGTAACAGAAAGGAAGACCTGTCCTTGGGATATTCTTACATTTTCCATTCCAGGAAGCCTTTTTCTAAGTGCATCTTCTTCACTGTATAATAAAACACTATCCATTAGGCAAATGTTTAGTTAACAGACACAGCAGGATCCATACATGAAGATTTTTAGGGAAGGTGAGGATTAAGATTCACTCGAAATGGCAGTGAAACTTAATAAAGTTGCACAGTGAATTCTAAGCTAGTTCTGGCCACAATACTGGAGCTATTCTTGAGAAAAATGTCATGAGGTACTTGTGACCACAGGTAGGTAAGACCTTTGTCATCAGCCACTCATGAGGAAACATGAGTATCCAAGAGGACATTGTCTAAAATAAGGCAGTGTGTTGGCCTTGGCTGTTGAGTCATCAGTATCACTTCCTGCAGCCCCTGCTTTTGCTCCGGGTATTTCTCAAGGGAGCACTGACTTAGTCTTTTTGATTCTTCTGGAATGAATAAGATCACAGCTCCAGAGCAGTAATGATGAATATGTCCTTGATTCAGAGGTATGTGCACTCATTTTAGCACAAATGTGCTAAATCTTCCATGAGATGCCTGCCTGATTAGTTTTTATCTTTATTCATCATGGCTTCACTGATTTGAAAACTTCAGACTCTCTAGTTGTAAAATGGAGAATTCACAGGAAGAATCTGTACAAGTGAGAGAGCAAGCTTAAGTGAGCAAGTGTTAATGGCTTGTGCCTCAGGGTACCACTGAAAGCTGTTGTATGTGGATCTCTCTTGCCCTTAATTCACTATTTGCCTAGACATTTCTTTAAACCTTCAAAATACTACGTGGAACTTCTCTAGCAGAGACAGATTCTCACCAGTTTTCAGTGACAGATCCTTCTCAGCTACCCTGAGGTTTGCTGCATTTGTAAAGCACACCTTATGGGAAAAAGAAAATAAAAAACAAACACCTGACCTCTGAATTTCTTTTTTAAAATATCATTGCAAAATTTCTGACGTCAGACAATGAGACACAAATTACCCTGTGAACTGTTAACATATGCCTGTTTACATATGATATCTTATAGCCAAAGCAGATTAAGATTTGAAGGTTTAACTGCTGTTGAGTTTCCACTATGTGAATCATACAGATCATACAGCTTATTCATCACAGGCACTTATTTTTATTCTTTAACTCTTTCAAGCTACTTCTTCCCAGAGTAGAGTTTAGGGGAAATGTGGGACATGTGGGAACAGAGAGATCACACCTGAACTTTGCAAATGAAGGAGCCAAGAGCTGCCATTAACTGCAGCCACCCCAGTGAATCAGTAGTGGTTTGTATCTTGCACCAGGTGAGCTGACAGGCACAGAAGCCTTCCCCAGCTGCCACGGTCACTCTGTCCATCTACCTAGTTAAGAGAAGAGCCAGCTGCAATGGATGCTGATGGCCAACCCTGGAATCTTTCCATTTAAGGAGGAAAATTACTTGTAAGAAGCAACAGAAGAGAACCGGCCATGACAAAATCAGCAGGATGGCTCAAGTTCCAAGTTCAAAGAAAAAAAAATACCATTCATCACTCTAGGATTCCTTGGGTGCTATGATATAGTTTAAATTCAGAAATGCCAAACATTTTGGTGAAAACTCCATTGATTTCAGTAAACACAGGCAGTTCATTCTAGCACTTGAATCTATTTGGTGCATCACTGATTCCAATGGAACTCAAGTACTCTCACCAGCAACGCTGGCACAAGTGAACAAGTATCTGTCTTTTCCTGGATAACATGGTCATATTTTAAAAGAGGCATCTCTGCTGATAAAAGAAAGAAACCTACCTCCATTTAAATACACATGCCTATTCACCTCAGATGTGATTGTTATTAAAGCTGGGCAGGCCAGTGCTGCCATCTCTTTCAGGTGAAACCAAGAAGGATTTCAGAACTTCACTTGCTGTTCAGCTTCTCTGATTCACTGACACTGCCTGTCTCAGGCTAGCAAAGGAGAGAAGGAAGATGATGTAGTTTGAAGCAGGAATATGAACATCCAAAAATACCTTTCCTCTTGGAGTGGCCATAAGTGACTGTTTGACTATTTGTTCTTTTCATTTAAAGTATTGCTTCAGATTTGTTTGGTTTTTGTCTCCCAGCTGCATCATCTTAAGCAGGCAGTCCACCTTATTACCTGTGGATTAGCTAACAGAGGCTGAGTGCAGCACTGTGATGGGTCAAGTCTCTTTTTCACGTAGGACAACAAGGTGTAACCAAGACAGCAATCTCCCTCACAGCATTACTCACTGGAACATGAGGGCAATGAACCTTATCAGGAACTGCAGCAATCCAAGGCTATACTGGTACAAATGCCACAGGTAGCAAACCAAACCTGCTGCCACCAGTTTGTTGGTAGGAATCTGGGTATAATTTACCATTTATAATGTTATGTGTTATTGGAAGGCACACTCAAACACCAACACAAACTAAATTTGAGGTGCAGCACTTGTGGGCATGGAAAATGTATGTACACCTTTGCATTTGAAAACTTGGGAGGCTGGTTATCACTAGGGATTGAATTAGATCCAAGAGGACAATCTTAATGCACCTCTGCCAGAAACTGCAGAGCTTATTTAACCAATGCAAGTTTCTGTTTCTGATATTCTGCTTAGAAATGGTTCAAGAACAAATTTAACCACAATCTTAAAGATGAAACAGAAAGGACATTCCCTCCCCCTCCCTGTTTTTTTTGAAAAATGCTATTGTTAACATCCTCCCTTGTGGTATTTAACTGAAAAAGGGTGACCCGCCTTAAAAACTACAGGTTTGAGCCCTGAGGTATTTTAAAAGGGACCAGATTTTATACATAAAAATACAAACAGGTACATACTGCTCAACCACCCCCCAGTCCCTTTCAGCTCGGCTTCCACGGCAGAAGCACCCACGCTCACTGCAGAGCTGGGGAAGGATGGACCTCAGGGTTAGACCACATGATGAAAATTAGCCAGCCAATTCCCATGAAGTGTTTTGAACACAAAAGCCCAGTGCAAGCAATAATGGTTCAGTTCTCTTTTCCACCTATGAAATCAGCTTGCAGATTAATATTCTTCAATTACAAAATAACAATTTTCAGCTTGAAGTGGTTTGTGCTCTTAAGTGCAATTGGGGTTAATAATGGTCTGTGAAAGGAGAGCTGTTAGCAAACAGTAACCCAGAGTGGAAACCTTAGCACATGGGTACATCAGCTATATTTTACATTAAAAGTCAGATTGTAGATTCAGAAAAAATACATAGGAAAACACCATCTAGCCCACTAAGGATCCCAAAGCACAAAGAAACCTCTATTTTCTGCTTACATATGCCAAGAGATAATTGTCATCTGACTGCCAAGGCAGCTTCTTTTACCTATGGCTATTTCTAATTCATGTATATATATGCCTTACCTGCCTGATGTGTTCAGATCAATTTAGGCAATAAATAGTGTCACAAAGTTTAAGTTCTTTTCTGGATCTGTGCCCAAAAGCATAGATATCTGAAGCTTATATAAAAAGATTTAACTGTTTTTCAATCCAAGGCATATGGTTACAATATATTTGTACTATCTGAAATTTAGTTATTGGAATACCTCTGTAAATAATTGTAGTCTTCTAGCCTACAATATTAAGGTAAAGCCTTCTGGGGCTCCCAAATGAAAAAAGCCTGAATTAAATGCTTCTGAATATCAAAATAAAAGCCTAAGTCAGGGCAGAGAGTTCAAAATTATAAAAAAACAAGGCCAAATCCTCAAAGCTGAGTGGTTGTTCTCTGTGGCCACAAACAAGGAATAAGTGTGCAACACTTTCTGCAAATTCATCTCCAAGGTTTGTGTTACAACATGGGCATGGTCCCAAGCACTGAAAATCCTTGGTCACAGTGCCCTACTCCAACCATGCCCAGTAGTTACAGAGACAGTGACAGAACTATCTGCAACACCCAGCAAAGCACTCATCAATGCTGGCAGGATCTGCATCTCTAATATGCTGAAGAAACTAGCACACTGAAAAGGAAGTTTAAATGCTGCAAAACATACTTTATTTACCAAATGCAAGCTTTTAGAAATTCAGGAAGGTAGAAAAAACCTAAACAAGTTTAACTGGACTTCCTTATATTCCTGACTTCAAAAAATGCTTTCAGTTACAGCAGAGACCTTCAACTTTGGCTATAAATGAAACATTTAACTATGATTTACCTATAAATGAAACACTTAACACATAACAATCAGTTATACAACCTATTTAGAATCAGCAACTTATCTCACAGGACCTTTAATAACAAATTTTCTTTGTGGCAGTAGCATATCCAGCTCACGTGTCCAGGCTTGACCAGCTTTGTTTTTTCTGACTGTCAATCAGTCTTTTAAGTATTTCATCTCGTACAAGATCTGATACTTCTACATCATCATGGCTACAGCCCATTTTAGGGCATCTGTTAAAAAGAAAAGAGAGACTCCATTAAGAATTGTATTTGACAGATATGGGCTTTTGCATAACATCTGCTAGCTTTTTTTTTTTTTTCATTCTTTCTCTCAGTTCCTTGTTACCTCTTGTCCTCTTCACCAGTTCTATGTGGGAAAAAATAAATCTATCTCAACTGGTGAGAATCAGCAGCTGAAGGAAGGAAAGAAGGTGCACAGTGAGAGATGGAGACTTTCACCTGTAATCACTCTCTTGCTGCAAGCACACAAGCTGCCTTCATCAGCAATGATATCAGCACTGCATGGACACCTTTCTGTGTTGCTTTCTCTCTCTGCAGTCCTCTAAAAACTGCAGGTAGATACTGCTTACCTCACTAAACTGCAGTGGAGCAGTATAATCTTTACTGGCAGATAAGTAGGGAAATTATTTTCTAGGCAACCAAAAGGGAGTGAGTCTTGCCATGACTGACTGGTGAATCAGTGTACTATCTAGTTGGTGTAAAAATCAACCTGACTTTTTATGAGCTGTGAAAGCTCAGAAAGGAGAAATGGGGCCAAATTAACAGCCTCTAGATGATAATCAAATACAAAATGTCTTACAACTACTTGAAACAGCCAGATAAAGACAGCAGGGTAAAAGATATTCAGGGACCAAAGGTCATTTTCCTTTGGTGGCAGCCCAAACATACACAGATGGTATCTATAGTAAGAAGTAGCACTTTTCCTGAAATTTTTCCTCTCTTAGACTAACGTTTGTCTGAGGTGCTGAACTTATTTACACTCAGTACTCAAATAACTTTTACTCCAGATTCGTCCACAGGTTACTGTGTCTGTCATAGATCGGTCATTTAATTGCTCTGTGCCTCAGTTTTCCCATTTATCACCTTAATACAGCAATAGCTTGCCAGATTAATGAATAACAAGGGCTCAGAAAGCTTTCCACATTTCCTGTAAGCATAAAGTATTAGTATGTCCTTCCAGGCAGTGGAAAATAGTGAGCAAAGCAAGAGACGTAAGAGTTGCCTCAAGGAGTGTGTGACAGGTCTGTCAGCACAGGCTGTGTGTACGTCAGCTGGAGGGCTGGCAGGCAGGCACTGCACTGCCAAGGGCACTGAAGGCATCCTGTGGATTCCAGCTGGGAAGTGCTTGTGAGGAAACAGCCACTGTGTGTCTGCAGAGTGAGCAGCAGCTCCGACTGCAGAGCCAGGCTAGCGAGGATCCTGCCCTGCTCTGCCAGGACACCTGATCCCACAGGAATATCCCTGGCAGGGGCACAGCCCAGCAGCCAGGCCATCACACTGGGATTCTGAACAGGGAACTTGCTGCAATAGCTGGCCTGTCTTCCCACCACAGCAGATGATGGGTTTTAACTGCATTTTCATGAGAAAGTTTAAAATTACCGTAGGTTGGTCAGACTGGGCAGAGAAAACCAAGGACTCCTTCTTAATTTAATTACAGTGAAGCTGTGGCATTGCTCTGTGTGTGCTTTTCTAGCATTGGAATAATTGCTGTAAAAATGGTAAGGTTGCCAGCTAAAAGCTCAGTATTAAGAACTGCCAGTGTTCAGACTGCACAAATAATTTTGGTTTGAGGATAAGGGAGCTTTTAAAGCTGGGTGTTTTACAGCTGATATGATTTTTTTAACTCCAGAGTTTCTCTAGTCTGCCATTTCTTAAAAGGTAAAATAAAATTCAGTCATGTGAGCCTATTTGTTTTTCAGCAGAGCAGAAACTTTTGATCCACTACAACACTTCCTCCTAAATTGACATTGTTCTGATGGATTTAACAACACAGAGAAATATTTAGATACGAACATCCTAAATTCAGTATCAGAGAAAGTATTCTTGTCATTGGACTGCTGAGCACATGCTTTTTAGTCTCTCCCTATCCTCCAGAACACTTACTTTCCTCCAACTTGAGAGCTGTTACCCAATTCCTGTTCATTTTTCCAGCCAAGTCTCTGTCTATCCATGTTGCTGGTTTTGTTGTTATTCCCAGTTACTCCCATTCCAGATTTTCCCCTAGATTTTGTAACACAAGCAAGGTGCTTCCATCTAGTTCTTCAAGCTGTCTTGACACTGAGATAGTGGGCATCCCAACTGATGCTTGGTTTTATAGCAGTGCTTTCCTGTAACAGGGAATGAGCATGGAATAAAAACTCCAGTTCCACCTAGGTAACCCTCATGGAGGACTGTGTAGAGCCTCACACAAATGCCAGAGCAACAGATGGAGGAAATAAGCTGCCTGTGGCATTATCTTCAGGGAAATCAGGTTGTTGGTCCCTAACAGACCTTCCTAAGCAAACTGCACATTTATTAAGAAGTCCAGAACTAGTAAGTTTCCATGAAGTCATCAGCCCCAAAGCAGGAGGCTCTAGCATAAATGGTGTAAAAACAAAGGTGAAATCAATGATGAGATGATATGTTCTCTCAACTTGCTCCAAAAAGCATTCGTGTTCAAGCCTCTTCTTTTTCTACTTTTTTCTTTTTTTTTTTCCCTTAAAATCATTATAATTTTCAAATTTATTGTGGAGAATTTGAGGTTTAAAAATTAATCTCTTACATCTTTTCATTCAAAAAAATATGTTCCATGTGGAAAAGTGACAGATTATTATGGTGATATAAGGAAAGAATTATTTAACTTCATCATGGTAGGAACTGCACTGCACTATCTGATCTCATTCTTAAATTCTCTTCTGTCTAAAATGTTGTCGTTTAATATTTCTCACTTTAACATTCAGCCGTTTTAATATTTCTGAGCTGAATTGGAATATAACTGCAAAAGAAGGTGGATGGAGGAATTTTTTTTTGTTT